ACTGGAAAAATCAAGAGACAAAAATAGATTAAAATATTTAATTTTATAAGAAAAGATATTTATATGATTGTGTTTGCTAAATTTATTGATTAAAATAAGTTTTTTATTCAATCAAATGATAAAAGAAATAAATACACACATATTAAATTAAATAAATAAAAGAAAAAAAGGAATAATATGCGAGACTGCACATATTAGAAATATTATTTGAAAATAATTTTTTTATTTTTAAAAATAAAATTAATCTATATAAAAGATTAAAAAAATTATAGATAAATTAGAAGAACCTCCTAAAAAATTAAAAAATAATTGTCTTTCTCTTAACAACATAAAAAAAGGAGGATATTGATCTAAATATAAATATAAAAATATAAAAAAGAATTGATTTAAAAAATAAAAATATAAAAAACAAAAATAGAAACAAAGACCACAAGTTGCTGGACCTAGCAAGCCAGGTAAGCGTGCTTGGCCTATTTTGTTAAGGCCCCATGCGCGTTGACTTTTTTTTGTTACAAATTATTTATGAAAAATATAAGATGATGTGTCACCCGTGGGCTATATTTTTTTTTTCTTTTATACATGCATGCTTTTTAGATGCATTTTTACATAAAAATATTAAAATTTTAAATTAAAAGGTCCATACATACATGTAATCAAATAGATCGACAACTATGTGAATTAATAATAAAAAAGATATTGATGATAACTAAAAAGAAATTTTAAAAATTCAAATGTGTTAATAAACGAAATATTTACCTTGTTGTGTTTTTTGAATTTTTTTATTAAAATTAATATTTTTATTCAATCAAATGATATTAAAAATAAACACACTTATTAAATTGATCAAATAAAATAAAAGTGAAAAAAATATTATGCAAGGTTATACATATTATGTTATCTGAAAATAAATATTTTTTATTTTTAAAATAAAATTCTTATATACAAAAAGATAAAAGAAAATTTTTTTGATGAATTAGAATGAGTTTTTCAAAAATTAAATACAAACAACACTATAAAAACATAATCTCTATCCAAAAAAAACACAAATGAGGGATATTAATTAAAATATAAATTTGAAAAATATTAAAAAAAACACATAAAAATACTAATAGAAAAAGGCAATATATAAAAGAAATTATTTGATTGTTGTGATTTAACTCGTTAAACTCATGATCTAAAAATAAATTTAACTCATTTTGGTTCAATATTTTTTCCCCTTAAATATTTATTCAACTTTTAACATAAAAAAATAAATTCGTAACCCGGATCATAAACTCAACTGGATTTAATATTTATTTCCATTAAATTTTAAAAAAAATAAAAATAAACCATTTACCTAGATCATGAACTCAACTGGATTCAATAAATTATTTTTTCTTAAATTTATACTTAACCTTTAAAAAAAAATTAAAAACACATAACACAATAAAAAAAATTATATCCAAACAAGGATTAGAAAATAAAAAAATTATAGATAAATTATATTAATTGAAACATAAATTTAAATTATCTAAAAACAGATATATATAAAAAATATAAAAAAATTAATATAAAAAATATCCAATTGTTATATCCTAACATTCTTTTCTCGGTTTTCTATACAATAGAGTTTTCAAAAGGGGCTTCTAATCCATAGACCATGCAGAGATTTCATATATAATTAAAAAAAAAAAAAAAAAGAGCGAACGTGTTGATAACAATACCTCAAAAAATTCAGAAAGGAAAGGCGATGTCACGAATAACCAGACGTGGTATCTTGCAGTCCTTGTATAATCGGACCGTAATAATAACAGTGAATGGGAAAAAAAGAAAAAGGAAAAAACACACAGAGCGCAGCTCTAAGAGCTAGTGGCTAGTTACGTAATAATCTTATAGAACTCTTTGCTGTCTATTAGGATTAAGTATCTTTTTCTGAATGATTTTAAAGATATAGGGTCCATGTCCATTTGGTACATTATTTGAAAATAAATAAGTTTTTAAATACTGATATGAAAATTATCAAAAATAAAACTCTAAGGGTGCTCCATGGCTCACTGTAAAGATAGATGTTTTACACCGTAGATCGCTATAATACAATTATATTTTTATCACCTTTAGTTATAGCCAAGAAAGAACAAATTTAGGGACAAAATAGTTCTCTCATGAAATTCAATTGATATTTTCAACATAAAAAGGGTAAATTAGTCTTTTTCATATTTTTACCATCTTTTCTGGGTCCTTTGTATTGTGTATTCGCGCAGTTGGGCATAAAAAACAATTGATATTTAGATTTTTTTTTTTTGCCAATTTTCTTTTAATAAAAGATTTTATATATAGATTTTTTTTCAACTTTTTTTTTTGTATTTAATAAATTCTAAGTGAAAATAAAAAATTTTATAATCATAAACAATAATTAAAAATAAAACTGAAAAAATAAAGAGATAAAAGTAGATTAAGATATTTAATTTTATAAGAAGAGATATTTATATGATTGTGTTTGCTAAATTTATTGATTAAAAAAAATTATTCAATCAAATGATAAGAAAAATAAATACACACACATTAAATTAATTAAATAAAAAAAGAATAATATGCAAGGTGGCACATATTAGAAATATTATTTAAAAATAATTATTTTTATTTTTAAAAATAAAATTTGTCTATACAAAGGATTAAAAAAATTTAGATAAATTAAAAAAACCTCCTAAAAAATTAAAAGTGTAGTTAAAAAATAATTATCATTTCAAAAAGGCTCTTTGAACAACATAAAAAACTTAATTTAAATATAAATAAACATATAAATAAAGAATTAATTTAAAAAATAGAAACACAAAAAACAAAAACAATGGCCATAAGCTATTGGACCTCGCAAACTAGGTTCGCATGCTTAGCCCATTTTGTTAGGGCCTATATATGCTGATTATTTTTTTTTGTTGTTGCAAATTGTTATGAAAAAATAAGATAATACGTCACTTTTGGGTTATATTTTTTATCTTTTACAAAAACATTATACATACATGCTTTTTTATGCATTTTTTACATAAAAATATTAAAATTTTAAATTAAAAAGTTGATGCATGCATGTAATCAAATAGATCGAGAACTATGTAAATTATTAATAATAAAAAAGATATTGATGATAATTAAAAATAAAATTAAAAGATTCAAATGTGTTAATAAACAAAATATTTACCTGGTTATGTTTTTTGAATTTTTTATTAAAATTAATATTTTTATTCAATCAAATGATATTAAAAATAAACACATATATTAAAGTGATTAAATAAAATAAAAGTGGAAAAAAAATATTATGCAAGACTATACATGTTATGTTATCTGAAAATAAATATTTTTTATTTTTAAAATAAAATTCTTGTATACAAAAAGATAAAAGAAAAATTGATGATGAATTATAATGATTTTTCCAAAAATTACATACACACAAGACTATAAAAAAAATCTCAATTCAAAAAATAATCAACAAAAAAAACACAAATAAAGGATATTAATTAAAATATAAATTTAAAAAATATTTAAATAAACACATAAAAAATACTAATAGAAAAAAGCAATATCAGGTAAAAAAAATTATTTGATTATTATGGTTTAACTCATTAAACTCATGACCCGGACAATAAATTTAACTCAATCAGGTTTGATAGTTTTTTTCTTTAAATATTTATTCAAATTTTAATAGAAAAAAATAAATTCATGACTCAGATCATAAACTCAACCAGGTTTAATATTAGTTTTCATTAAATTTTAAAAATATAAAATAAATTATTTATCTAAACCTTGAACTTAATTGGATTCAATAAATTATTTTTCTTTGAGTTTATATTCAATCTTTCTAAAAAAATTTAAAACACACAACATGATAAAAACAAATTATATAAAAAAATGAAAAAATCATAGATAAGTTATATTAATTAAAATTTAAATTTAATTATCTAAAAACAGATATATATAAAAAGATAGCAATATAAAAAAAATCCAATTGTTATAATTTAATTCATTAAATTCATACTTGATTCTATAAACTCAATTGAATTCAATATTTGTTTTATGGCTTAACTCATTAAGTTTCTATAAAATCAATTGAATTGAATATAAAAAAGCAATATAAAAAAAATCCAATTGTTATGGCTTAACTCATTAAGTTTCTCTATAATGGTTAAAGGAAAGAGATCAAACCCAACTTTTCCGTTCTTCAGAATGATTTCATGCTTCTTGTTTATTAATTATTTTCATGGTGAATATGGGATATGGATAAAAGAACAAAGTGTGATTGCTAATTTATAAAAACAAATAAAAAGATTAGAAAAGAATGAGAAGAATAATAATTTATAAAGAGTTTTTTTTGGAAAGATACAACTTTATATATAGCTATTCTTTATAACTTGTATTTAATGCTTAAAATTATAAGTTTATTTATAATTTTTTTGTCTGGATAATCAAGAAATTATATCTTATATCATTTATAGGCCTCAACTTGAGTTTTCGTAAAAGAACCAGTACCCTATGTCAAATTTTGTCGGCCACCGACATTAGAACACAGTACAGTGCCTTTCGTTTTGTCAAGAGAAATTAATTGTATAGTGTTGTTGATCCATTCAATTCATTCGAGCATTAAAGTGATCTCTTGTGATGTAATTTTTTATATATATGAAAATATGAGCTAAACAATCCAGCGTTGCCACATTCCTCATCTTATCACCTTCAACACCGCCGATCACTGCCACCCTATCCCATGTATACGGAGTTAGCTGATCGCTTTTATCATAGATCAGCATTGAAAGAGCTAGCGAAACATAAGAGAGATACTATGAAGAGTCTTTCCTTGTCTGCTCTAACATTGTCGTTGTTGTTGATGATGATGATGCTCAACACAAAAAGTTGCGGTGCTAGTATTTCACTGCCAGAAATGGACGGTCACGTCCCCTTGTACTCCATAGCTGATGCCAACATAGATTTGGAGTTCATCATGGATTCTGAAATTAACAGGATTCTTAATACTGGCTCTCGCAATGCTGGAGGTGGTGCTCTCAATCCTCATAAACCGGTGTTTGGTGGCGGCCGAGGAAATCGATACAACTTGGGTAAGGGTTCTCCTAATCCGAAATGCAGGTCGCCGTACAAACGCGACTGCAAGTAGTTTCTTTCATATACTAGCAGTTATTCCATGCCCATGATATGTACCTATTTAATTTTAAGGGAGCTTGTTAATTCCCTTTCTACGACTGTCATTATTATCTATTGGAACCGAGTGGGTGTCGAATTGAATCATATAATACTCATGGTAGATTAAATTTTTCTTTAAACTTCATATTAAATTACTTGTGGTTGAGAATTCAGTATATAGATATAAAGAAAAGTGTTGTCATAGAGAAGACATAATCACACACAAACCCTTGCAGAGGCTAGGGAGACAGGGGGCCATGGCCCCCCCTGAAGCTTAAAAAATATGTTATACTCAATGGCTCTCTCATTTAAAACATTTCTTGTGAAACTTATTGATACCGTCTACCCACTAAGTAAAAAATAGACACTAATTCGGTATCACTTACAGCATCAATTGGTACTATTTGCCTTATTTTTATCTTTTGCAAGATAAAAATAAGGATACTTGCTTATAAATAAGCAGTGAATTCTTACTATATAGAGCACACTCAAGAGAGAAATAAGAGAAAAAGAATAGAGTGAGAGAGATAAAATAATCCCATAAAATTATGAGAAATTTGTGAAATAGTAAGTGAGGTGTTTTCTCTTATTATTAGAGAGATTTCAGTTGTTCTCCTATTAGTAAAGAGAGGTTGTAATTTTCACATTACTTAGTAAAATCCTCCTATACTTGCCTGTGGACGTAGCCTAATTTGGGTGAATCACGTAAATTCTTGTGTGTCATTTCTCATTTTATCTTGTCTTTTACCTTCTTTTATCTTGTTGGGTTTGCATGCAGTATCCTAACAATGATATCAGAGCCTTCTGATTGGTGTTATTAATATACAAAAGTTATTCGTGTATACGATTACTATTTAAGTCTACGATACTATTCACATATACGATATTGTTCACATACGTTACTGTTGACGTATATAGAAAGTCAGTGCAGTGATTAAATACAATTTAGAAAGTTCTGTTTAAGAAGATTGGGTTTTAAGCAGGACCGTTTATGACCCCTCTAATCTTTCCTAGGAATTTACTTAGTAAAATATTATTCACACAATTCTATTTCTGTATACGTTACAGATCTGTGAAACAAAGATAGCTGAATGGATCTCCGTGAATATAGTGGCAACAAAGTACGAGAATGAGAGGTTTAATGAGAGTAATTTCTCAATGTGAAAAATGAGAATCAAGGCAATCTTAAGGAAAGACAATTGCTTAGCAGCAATTGAGGATCAACCCGCGAAGATCATTGATGATGCAAAATGAAATGAGATGGATGACAATACTATTGCTAACATATATTTAGCATTAGCCGATGAAGTATTATCAAGTGTGGCGGAGAAGAAAATAGCTAAGGAGATAGGAGAGACTTTAACAAAGCTATACGAGTCCAAGTCTTTGCACAATAAGATTATCTTAAAGCAGAGACTTTATACCCTTCAAATAGCAGAAACCACATCGATGACTGACCACATCAACACAATAAGAACTTTATTTTCACAACTCACTATGTTAAGTCAATAAATAGAGAAAAATAAATGTGTAGAGCTTCTACTTTAAAGTTTTCCTGATTCGTATGATCAATTTATTATCAAATTGACCAATAATATCCTCTTAGACTATTTAATCTTTGATGATGTTGCAGTCGCTATCTTGGAAGACGAAAATAGGCGCAAAAACAAAGGAGATAGAAATAGTTCGAACCAAACAAAGGCATTGTTGGTGTCAAGAGGAAGATTAACGAAGCGTGGCTCCAATGGGAGTCAAAGGTAGGGGAGGTCTAAATCAAGAAGTAACAAGACTGTGAAATGCTACAACTGTGACAGAAAAAGGCACTTCAAAAAGGATTGTTGGTTTAAAAAGGGTATAGAGAATACTATAGAGACATCAAATCCTCAAAGATGTGTTGCAAGCACCTCAAAAGATGGAGATGTTTTATATAGTGAAGCAACGACAATCTCTATAGATAAAGAAGAGCTCGTTGAGGTCTAGCTAATAGATTTAGGAGCAACATGGCATATGACTCCTAATCGAGATTGGTTCTATGCATATAAACCCATCTTTGGAGGCAAAGTATTCATGGGTGATATTCATGCTTTAGAGATTATTGGCATTAGCACCATCAAATTGAAGATGTATGATAGCTTAATTTATACTATTTTAGGAGTGCGATATATGAAAGACTTAAAAGAGAATCTTTTATCCATAGGACAATTTGATAGTCTTGGTTGTAAGATTCGAAAAGACAATGGAATTATGAGCATCATCAAAGGAGCGCTAGTGGTTTTAAAGGCAAAAAAGACGGTTGCAAACATGTTTATAGTAATGAGAGAAACACATCATGGGGCAGAAGCATCAATCGCATTAGCCAGTCCTGCAGAAGAGAAGACAATGATGTGACATAAAAAACTAGGCCACATGTCAGAGAAAGGTTCGAAGGTTATCTTTGATAAGAAGTTACTCCCTGAGCTTACAAAGGTCACTTTACCTTTTTGTGAGCACTGTGTTATAATTAAATAGCTCAAGTTGAAGGTTGGCACATCAACAATTAAGAGCAGATGCATCTTAGACCTGATTTACTCTGATGTTTGGCAAGCACTGATTGTATCCTTGGAAGGAGTAAGATACTTTGTATCATTAATAGATGACTTCTCCAAGAGATGTGGGGTGTATCCAATTAGAAGAAAGGAAGATGTGCTTGCAGTCTTTAAAACTTTTAAACCGTGGGTGGAACTTGAATTTAAAAAGAAGATCAAGTGTTTAAGGATTGACAATGAAAGAGAATATACCAGTGATGAATTTGATAACTTCTGTCAACATAAAGGTATCAAAAGGCAGTTCATAACGGCATACACTCCACAGCAAAATAGAGTAGCAGAGCGAATGAATAGAACTCTATTAAAAAGAATAAGAGCAATGTTAAAGATTGTAGGTCTAGGAAAGCCATTCTGGGCAGAAACAGTCAATACCGCATGTTATATGATAAATCGATCTTCATCAACTACGATTAAATTGAAGACACCAATGGAGATGTGGACTAGAAAACCAACTGTTTATTCTCTATTACATATATTTGGAAGTCATGTGTATGTGATGTACAATACATAAAAAGTCAGCAATCTAGATTCAAAATCCAGATAATATATATTCTTGGGATATGCTGATGGAGTGAAGGGGTATCGCTTATGGGATCCCACTACCCACAAGGTAGTCATCAGCAGAGATGTTATATTTACAGAAGGTAAGATGCAAATGAAAGAACATAATAGCATTCTAAAGGATACTACAGTAATCCATGTGAAAAATACTCAGAATCATACTTCTTCTGAAACTGCACTAGAGCATGAAGAACAAAAATAAATAAAGTCCGAAACTCCTAAAGTTTGGCGGTCAACTTGTGAAAAAAAGACCATCGACCTGGCACTCAAACTATGTTACTAAGAGTAACATTGCATACTATCTTCTAACAGAGGATGGAGAGCCATCAACTTTCCACGAGGCTATCAAAAGTATAGATGTATCTATGTGGATGACAGCAATGCAAGAGGAGATTGAAGCTCTG